CATATTAATATTAATGTATACGCATATGTCTAGAATAAGATTAATATATTTATTAATGAAGGTGGTTTCAATATCATATTTTCATTGAAGCTCATAAGTTCAAGTCTTACTGAACTTATTTTGTATTCATTGAGATAAGATTAATATATATGATCAGACCCAGTTGATTTATCTTTCACAACTATGATATTATCCTTTTATGTCTCTAGCTATACGATAAATGGCAGTAAGGTCGCAAACCAAAGCTTGGGTCAAAAGGATCCAATGTCTTGATTCTTGAGTCTTGAGTGCTCTCGACCGTCTTGCATAACTGCACTGCACTACTTGGCAACATGGTCCATTCATTCATTTGTAGATATGAACCCATTTCTTCAAATTAAATCTCTAATGTAGGGGAATTGTTAAGGCTGAAGATGTTGATATTTTCAAAAAAATAATACTTTTACTTATACCAATCAAAGTGAACAATTTTAGTGGGAAACTAAAATTGGAAGCCTCACAAGGCAAGGCAGATGTCTTGTGAAAGAAAATTATTCTTAATATTTGGATATAATTTTATGTAGGGGTGTCAATAAACCAGTTTTGGATTGGATTCGTCCAAATTAAAATCAATTTGTATGGATTAACCGGATAAAAGGATATATTGAATTGGATCAGTCCAGATTTAATGGTCCAAAATATTTATTGAATTGGATTGAACCTGATCCATCCCTAATGTATTTATATTGGATTGGGTCAGACTGACCAATATCTTATCTATTGATAAAAGATAAGAATACAGGTGTAATGGACCAGGCATGGATTGCAATAAATCTAAATTAAATCAATATGAACAGATTGAACATTCGGCTCAGTTTGGAAGGAGTATGTAGAGTGTAAAACCTTATATTTTGTATGTATTTGTGTTGTATATTTGTACTCTTTTCAAACTGAGCCTTCCAAACAAACACAAGCTGCAATTTTTTTTTTGTCGTCACCTGTCAATTTTATTTAGTAATAGAATTAATTTTCTTTATATCATACTCATGCAATTGAATGGCCGCATGTCGCAATAAAACTGGCGTCTTAAGTGGATGCTTGGTTAGGTTATCCTTCACTTTCTTTTCATCATCAAGGAATATATTTATACAAGTAATCATCAGCTTAATTTGAATCCCAAATGTTAAGTATCCTCTCTTTCTATCACTCAGCTAAAGAAAAGTAGAGGCTGTTGAGTAGATTAATTTATTAAAGCATAAAACAAAACCATGGCGTCTCAATTCAACTCAACAAATGAATTCACCTAATAAAGAATTTTTTTCTTTACTCATTGCAAAATCAAGGTGCACGAACTTTTTTTTTATGTGAGGAATTGAAATGGAAAGAAATTAAAGAAAAGAAAAGGAACAACATGTATAACAACTAGGCAGCGATAGAGGAAGCGTGGAAAGATGTAGCCAAGGGGGCCATGGCAGTGTATCGTAGTTCCGTAAAAATAAAGTATGAAAGATGTTCTTAATGCACGGCTGAAAACAAGATTAGATTGGTGTGAGTTGCACTCTGTAAAGAAAGCAAAATTCGGATCCAAATTTTAGCAAAGGAGTTTAAACTCTCAATTCTCATACAGTGCCTAGGGTACAGCATCCCTTGGGTTGTCTCTGTTTCCCCATAAAATTTGTCTGTTGACAAAATCTACATTGTAGACTTCCAAGGTCCAACTTAAATTATGGGCCCAATGGGACATGGGGCGATAGCCAGAGAATGTAGCTAACTTGTTAACAAGGAATGTGTGTGTAGCAGCTCAGGTTGACCTCATAGCCTATCACACTCGCTATCTCCGTGGGGGAAATAGGGTTAATTTAGTCCTACAGGGCTACTATTTGAGCCAACCAATCCTGTAGCTGTGACAAACTTGTGGAAATCATGGATTTGGTTATAATCTAAGGCATTAAGTCAATTAATCATGTTCCTAAGGTGTCTTTCATCTAATCTGGATTGGTGCTGTAAGCTGTAAGTTTTTGGGTTTGGGGAACTAGCTTCATAAGGTGTCTTTCCATGGGCTTTCATCACTGTATCCCATTGGCTACACGCTTAAGTAAATTGCAATCTATTCTCTCTTTCCACACCCCACCCTTAAAATTTATAAACTATTCCTTAAAATTGCAACTTGAAAGATCAGATTATCTGTGAATACATTACAAGCACAAGCAAAAAAAAAAAAAAAAGGTTTTCGAATTTCAAATGTTTTGTCACTTTCTTCACCTTCTTTTCCTAAGGCTGTGTTTCGTTGCAATGCAAATAAATTTGCATTGATGAAAAATTATGGCAGTGCAAATGATAAGTGTAAATTTTGACCTATTTTTGTTTCAAATTTTAGCTTATTTTGTTTGGTTGCAGTAGGAATGAAGTAAATTAAGACATGAAACAGAATAAAGTAAAATCCAAAGCAAAACTAATTGAAAATTTACATTTTTTACATTTGCTCCCCCATGCATTTGTACTAGTGCAAATAAAATCGCACTGCAACTAAACACAGCCTAAGGCTTTGTACAAGTGGGGCACTAGAGAAATTAAAACATTTGTTTAAGTTGAGAAGTGAGATGATTATACATTAAATAATGATCGATCAATAGCATCCGTGATCCAGCAAGCAGCTCACCTGCTTTTTCCAACTTTCCTACACTATAGACACGGCTGGGCCATGAAACACTTACTGTGGGCCTCAATTGGCTGAAACATGGTTTCCAAGTTAGGGTATCAATGGACCGGTTTTGGATTGGATCCCATCCAGTCCAAAATCAATTTGGACGAATTGGATGGACCAGCAAGATATATTTGATTGGACCAATCCAGTCCAAAATATTTATTAGATGGATTGGACATGGTCCGTCCGTAACAAATTTATATTGGATTAGACTGGATTAAGCCAATATCAGGTCCATTGATATAAAATATGAATATATGTGTCAATGGATCGAGCTTGGGTTGAAACCAATCTAAATCAAAATGATATTGAACAGATTGAACGGTCCAAACATTGAATTAAACCGGCCCAAATTGATCCAAAACATTCATTAGATTGGATTGGACCTGATCCGTTTATAATGGACTCACATTAAACTGGATCGGATTGGACGGAATCCAGTCAAATTGACACCCCTATTTCCAAGCAAGTCAGGTCCTTATATTAGATGATCCCATGTATTTCTACCACATTGAGCAACGGTGCTGCTAATTTAGACCTATGCATTTACATAGGGGAACGCTTAATCAGTAATTTAATTGCTTCCATACTCTGCATCCACTCTATATGGCTAATCAATCTTTCTCTGGAGTTACTGATGCTAAAATTCACATAAAAAATGGCTTATTTTGGACTGAGGACATAAATGTTGGGCTAGAATTTTGGCCCATCAATGAGGGATGAACGGAGGAACAAGTGGGGCTCTTGAGGCTGCATAAACATGGTGCCACGTGAATCTCGAGGTAAGATTTACTGCCTAGTAATTGCCCAGCCCATCTCAAGGTAAGATCACTAGATCAGGATTAGGTCTATATGTTCGATCTCAAGCCAGCCCATTTACCCTTCTTCTGGACTGGGTACCCAAATCTGTTTGTGGACACCAAAGGCTGAAACAAAATGTTGCTAGTTGTTATGCAACACAAAACATGCGACTATGTAAGAGGTACAATCAGCCCTTGTTCAATGAATTTTACATTATAAAAAATCATTTTATAATTGTTTTTGAATATCGTATTTCTTTTGCAACGTTTATTTTTAGCTGCTTGTAACAGGCTAATTTTAAGCATACAATTTTTAAATTATTTTGAATTGGATAAGGAAGATGAAATCTATAGGCTTGACCCTCTCTCTCTCTCTCTCTCTCGCTCCAACTTTTATTTTAATACAAGATTGTTATAATGTTAATTTTCAATGACATAATAGCTTGAAGCATTTTACATAAAGAACAATAACCCAGTGTCCTTTCTCAAAGGATGACTTCAGACTTATAATACATTAAATTTAGAAAATATTAGTGACAAGGTGGGTGTCTCTATATTTAATCCTCGTGGTTCCTAATATGGTTAATCAACGAAATGGACAATGAAGAATTTAAGAAAGGGGAAAAAGTTTGAAATCTAAACGAGCCAATTCAGAGCTTGGCTAAATCGAGAAACTTTTAAGTAGACTTAACTCTTAACACAGTCTCTGCTGTAACTGAAACGAGTATGTCTTGGGTTTGTTGCGGGTTGAGCACCGATACGAACCAGAGAGAGAGAGAGAGACATATCAACCCATGGTCCGTGGATACCCCCCCTTGAGGCCTTGACCCCATATAATCCATCCACCTAAATTAATGTGATCCATATCAAGGAAATGGGTGGGCTTATGTGGATGGATTACGTGAATTGGGTCAGAAATTGCTACCTCTGAGCTTGTGATTATAATTTATAAATATTGAGCAAAAAGTTGATTTGGGAGTGGGGTTTTTAAAGCAATGGGTGATGAAAATCATTTTAGGGCTGAAGAATTGAAAATTCTTTTTGCTGATACAGAACACCCAACATTGAATTAATAGACCAAGTCATCAATTATGAAAGTAGTCTCTATCGCTTAGCTGTAAATTAATCCGGTTGGCAATGGCTTAACTTAATTTGTCTATAATCAGTAACCACTCAAAAGTAGAACAAAATTTCTTGTGACATGTCATTTTCCCATATACACCGATACACGCAAGGCCTGGTCCTGTGGTCCATTCCATTATGTTATCCTTCTTGCTTAACCATCTCTTCATTCACTTCTACCCCTTCTAGCTATAAGAGCTAGCCTAGACAGATCACAGATGTATGCTGGTTGCTTAATTGGTTTGGTAGCCCTCCATTTTCGATTTCATTATCCAAATTGACATCTCCATCTATTCACCCAATTTCACTCCCAAACTAATGCGCGCTAATTTTATTTTTATCAGGATAAGCCACCAATTCAATAGAATTTGACAAACCAACTCGCCAGCCGTATTATTTTCTTTCTTCTTCATCATTTCTCTTGTTCTAATCAATAATCACATAGATAAATGTAGAAAACTGGGGGAAAATGAAAAACAAGATATAAGAAAGAAACGTGTATCTCCTAACAACGAGGGAGATCGGGAGGTGGTGGAGGCAGCCTGGACGAAGGCGTGGGCCCATTCTCAACCACGAAAGCTCCTGCTAGGCCCCATGGTAAGTGCACATCCAGGTGGCAATGCATGATCCATACACCTGTCAAGTTTCAGTTTTATTAAACATCATTGATCATTCCGTTAGTAGTACTACTTAACTAGTGTTCTGCAGTCTGCGTTGCTTAATTTGATGCTTTTCCACGTGGCAAATTAAAGCTCAGACTTGATGCAATCAATCATAATAATCTTGAAAGTTGAAACTTGAAAGGGAAGGGGTGGGTATGTTGGTAAACTTACCTGGATTGTTAGCCTTGAATCTGACAACAGCCCAGCCTCCGACCGCCACGGCTATGGTATTCCTCTCTTGCGGGTTTACAAAGTTGAACTTTTTCCGATCCCTAACCGGGTTGTAGTTCCCAAACCCTTGGGCCAACACGAGGAAATTAAACCCGTGTAGGTGAATCGGGTGGTTCTCCACCCCAATCAACGCCGTGTTCTGAAACACAATCTCCACCGTTGAATTATATCTTAGCTTCTTCACACGTGTATTCTTCTCCGTCATGTATAGCGATGGGTTGAAGCTGTTGTTCGGGTTGGTGTTCGTGTAATCAAAGACCACCGGAGGATTGTCGGGGAAATCTTCCGTGTAGATGCCCTTCACTCCTGAAAAGAACGCCTGCAGCATGGACAACGTCGATGGCAGTTGGAACGATTGGTTATTCATGCTAGCTGCAAATTTCAACCCATTCGGTCCTCCACATGTGGCATTGCGGTCGCATGCCGAAAGACCTAATCCGACGGTTATAAACATCCTTTCGTCCACGTGGTCCGCCACGTGTGCGTTTAACGTCGTCTTAAGGCTCGTCAGATTGCTGTAAAACCTGTGAGCCGTGGGCGTGTCGTTGAAGGCAGGGAGGACTGGCATCAAGGGTACGGATGACGTGGAACCCTCGTAGTGGACGATACCCGTCGTCGTCGTGTTGTCGAACTGGCCCCCAGCGGCGCTCGCGTAAGCGCGGGCCGCCATGTAGTAATCCCCCAGGGGTCGATCGGCGGTGAGAAGGACGTCAGTTGTCTGGCCGGGGGCGACCACGACGACATCGGTTTTGTAGGGCTGGGTGTAGCTGGCGTCGGCGGATACGACCGTTAAGTGGTGGTTGGCGATTTTGAAGAAGAGCTGGGTATTGAGTGCAGCGTTGATTATACGGAGGAGGTAGGTCTTCCCTGGTATCACTGTGAGCTTGTAGGTGCCTGAGATGGTAGAGTAATCGTATAAAGGCAACGGAAGAGATGAGAGGCGAACTGAAATTGAAACAAGATAGGAAAGTGAGTGGGCGTTGGTGTTAGATACCAATTCGAGAGCACGGGTAGAGATCACCAGGCCTGCCATTGATGGTGAAAGCGTCGGAAACATTGGGAGGAGCACCGGAAGCGAGAGCCTCGTCCTCGACGTCCACGACGTTAGCGTTCCACCACTCCCCTGCGGTCAACCATGCAAAGGGCATTTTGGTCTCATGACATTAAAGATTAAACTGAGAAACGGCAGGTAGTCCACCAGAACTCGGAGCACTGACTCGTTCTTTGGTAGTTGTTAGTTGGTTTGTTATGTCTTTACAAAGGACCGGATCATCGGGTTGGCAAGAAAACAAAAACCCCGGGAATGATAGATTGTTGAATTACCTAGTACAATAGGGATCTCCCTGTAGGGCTTGGGAAACGGGTAGGACCGACCAGATCTGGGGCGGATGATGAGTGCTCCATAGACGGTTGCTCGAATCCAGGACACGTGGGCATGCCACCAAAGAGTACCCTCTTGTCCAGTAATAGTGAATTTGTAGGTGTAGCTGTTTCCTGGGAGAATCGGACACTGGGTCACATAAACAGGTCCATCCGCCCACCCGCTTAGCATCTGAAACACTCCATGCCTGCATCCCCATAACATGATTGAACATACATAAACTGATGATAAACATACAATTAATCATACATGCATGCGTGTATGAGAAAACATGATAAACATGAATGCCGAGTGTTTACTGGCATCATGATCATATATATATACACGAGAAAACAAATTACATCATTAATTATTTGACTTCTATAGATATAATTTTCTGACTAAAAAAATTGGATGGTTTTATTGATTAAAAAAGACCAAGATTTGCAATTGAATTGAATAAGGAAAAATAGAATAGTGGAATTTCTCTTCTTTTTAGGAAAGAAAAAGTCAATCAAACAGTCTTGTTTGAGAATGAAGTCAAAATCAGTGACAACAATTTTGGTGAGAAAAAAAGGGAATATTCTGTATGTATTATTACATTATTTTGCTTTTATAAAAAATAATAGAGTTCAAAATCTAACTTGTGAACTCATGCATGGTGTCCTGAGTTTTGAGCATATGTATAGCTTGGTAGTGATTAATAAATTAATTAAAGAGATTAATTACCAGTGAATGGTGAGGTTGTAAGGTGACTTGTTAAGGACATGAACAATGAGGGTATCGCCCTCCCGGACCCGAATGGTCGGACCTGGGAGACTTCCGTTTACAGCAGTTATCATTTGACTCCGGCATAGTCTCTGGATGGTCAGATTCCCCACCTGAAACAACAAAACATGAGAAACCTTTTTTAATTTATTCAGGGCTCAGCGGTGTATGTACTTGTTTTGCTGTGAGAGCGAGTCGCCCTAACAAGGAAATAGTACCGGCCGGCCGGCCGGCCATTCTAATTAATTTGTTGAGAAAATAGAAAGAGAAAGCACATTTTGATGCTAGGTTGCTTCTTTTCTAAAAACACAAGGCCTTAATATATTATATTCCAAACTCTGAATGAAGAAGATAAAATTTGTTTTGTTATATATACTATTCCAGAGTCGATACCCATTTGAAAATTAGATGGGAGTGGTGCCCTTCACTAGATCGAGCATCCTGCCTTGTCCATCCCTACTGCAAGAATGTTTTGCAGCTAGCAGGATGGGAAGCAGAAGAACCACTACTCATCCTTGTAGTTTTGCATCAACCCATCCCATTGATCGGAAGGAAAATAATGAGCAACAATTAAAATATCTTATTCAACTGTAATAAAGATTTCATCTTACTAAAAGCGGAAATCGAAACTGAAAATAAAGGCAGAAAAAGCAAAAGAAGAAGCAGCACTTCTCTAGGGTTTTGATTCAATTACATGGAACGTATGCTCGACAACTTCGCCGTAGACCTCAGAAGCAAAAAGAGCCAGAACGCAGGCTACCAAGAGAAAAGGCCGTGACATACTTGGAGTTGAATGAGTATTAACGAGAGCTAGCAAGACAAGGGCAAAAGTGCAAAATTAAAGATGAGAACACAGAGAAGAGGAGATGAGCTGAGAGGGTTGCTTGTTAGAGCTCAGTTCTCACATTATATTCTACCTCATCCTCCATGTTTTCAACTGTTACCAACGGAGCTATGGACCTATATATGGTTATGCATGAATATTTAAAGCGAGCTTTAGCCTTCTTTCCATGCTTTGCGTGAAAGCTTATAATTTAAATCTGAATGGTCGCAATAAGGTTTGAACTACGTCGAAAGCGTCAGTAGAAATTTCGTAATCTAACTACCGAAGTTAGACACCCAAAATATTAATAAACAAATAAAAAATTAAGTAGTCATCGCGGGGAAATCCAGTTGTGTAAGCATTCGGTCTAACTCTATTGTGGAATTATGTTGGTGAATGCATGGAAATCTCTCCCTTTTGGGAGGAGTTGAGAAAAAGGGTGTCGATTGCTCTTCCATTAAGCAACCCAAATGCGATGTCTTTTGCCCAATTTATCACACCAGTTGACCTAGTACCGGCGGGATCATGGCCTCGATCGGTCGATCACGTCGACCCCACCCTATAAGACCCAGCCCTTTCAGGCTCATCACGGATCCATGTCGATCTTTTCTGGAACTTAGCTGCAATAACACATTGACAGATCTTACTATTGTTATTCCACAAGAATATATATTGTGATAGATCAGATCGTGATCCTTTAATTATTTGACTTGATGATTTGATTTGATTTACACTTATTTTATTTAATAATTTGAATAATTAATCACGTAATAATATGGCGTCCCGTAAGGATTATAAACAAAATGTGGTCCTATATCTATTCAGGAAGCATGTGCTTATTGCTTGTGATTTATCCATCAACCAATCCAACTTGATATCTCATCACCAAGGAAATTTGAGCAGCGCTAATGGGTGTTGATTGGATTCCAGTCTGACGGTTGAGAGCTCATTTGCCTATGATAGAGCATGGGTTTTGTAAATTACAGTGGGTGCATGTATGCTGAAGCTGCTGAAGTGGTGAATTATATTTAGGGATAAGTAGACTGTACTCCACCTCAGAAATCTGAAATTATAACTCCCTCATAATTTATTAATAGTCTCCACTGTAAATCGCATCTTGCCCGTAAATTTAACATCTATTCATAGTCAGGATTCATCTCATCTGTATGATGAGACTAAGATTTCTGAGGTAGACTGAATGATAAAAACCCCTATGATTTGTTAATAAAATAATACATGAACAAAGTCAAATGGGTTGTTATTGAAAATGGTCTCAAGTTGTAATATGCCATTAAAATAAACATTTAGCTAGGACTTCTTTTCCAGTTCATGGTTTCTATTGCTGAATTCTGTCTTCTAATTTCTCTGGGTTGGTAGTGGTTGTAAACTTGTAATAGAAAATTCAGGATTGATTGAGATATATGGGTCAAGGAATTCTGAAAAAAAGGGGGGAAAAGAGAAGCAACTCTAAGCTGGCAACATCTGATCCAATAATCTCAACTCTCAAGACTATTTCAGTCTATAACCCACCAAAGATGATGAAAATTAAGGGCGTTCGTTTTGTCTTCATTTAACTTGAGAGCAAAGAATTGAAGGAGAAGGACTATTTTCCAACATAATTAATTGCGCGTGCGTGTCTAATATTTTTTTGGTAGAAAATACAAAATAGAAAATAGGTTAGGGAATGGGTCAGTTAATCTGATGCAAGTCCCAGTCTCCCCCTAGTTTGCACTGGTTTGGTTAAACAAAGTCCAGTTGATTCAAAATTTTCAACTGGGTTTTCCTTGTCTCTTCTTTCTCAGTAATTGTCATCGGTCGTTGTAAGTTGAGTAACCGCGCGCGCCTACTGCATTCAAAGCTATACTACACAGTCTACACTGCTTTGTTTCTATTTGTTCTTCTGCCGTCCTAAACTTAAATGAGGCGCAATCGCAATTGCAATGGGTTGGGTTGGCAAGGCTTGGCCCCTACCTTCCGTGTTGTCTGTACTAGATCTGTACCCAAATTACCAAATAGATGCTTTTAGTTTTATGTCAGTGTTAGATCTAGGAGTGTCAATGGACCCGTTTTGGATTGGATAGATTGGACGGACTAATAAAACATAGTGAATTGGACCAGTTTAAATTTAATGGTCCAAAATATTTATTGAATTTGACCTGGCCCATCTGTATTGAATTTATATTGGATTGAAACAAATATACGATGCATTAATATAAGATAATAATATAGGTGTGAATGAACCAGGTTTGGATTGAACCAATCTAAATTAAAATCAATTTTGAAGCTTCGAACAGATTGAATGATTCAGACAAAATGGTCCAAAGTGTTCATTGGCCGGATTGGATTAGACCAAATTTGGTCGAATGGACAGCACTAATTAGATTAGACCCATGTTTTAATGATTAATTTCAATCCCAGAGTATGGCCCAGAAAGCCCACCTCAATGAATTAAGCCCCGGGTGGGCATTGGGCAATTAGAACATTGGTTACATTAAGCTATAAGTCATAGCCAAATTTGATGGTATCACATCACTGTCTCTTATGAAAGATGTGATTTTTATTAATAAGCTTACAAGAAGGGAAAGAATATAAGATATAGCAACAGATGGTGAATTAATTGGGTCTTTTAAGCTGCCGGGTATATATATATATATATAATTTCTCTAAAATTAAAATTGAATTCTGCCATTTGAAGAATTTTGGGTTTCCACAGAAGCAAAGATGAGGATTGGGAGGAGCAAATTAATCAGGTCAAGTGAAATGGTTATTCCAAGGGTGTTAGGTATAGTAATTTGTTTGCTAAAAGTTGTCACCTTGTCGTTTAAAACTGGTGACAACGATTTGGGAACGAGGGTCTTAAGAATGAGACTCAATTGGTAGTTTGGTACACGCTAAGGAGTCCTTAGTTTAGGAGATGAGGGGCGCCGATGTCTGTTTAGGCGATGATGAACGCCAAATTTAACTATATATATATATAGTTGTGGTTGTGAACTCACAATCGTTGTCTACCTCAACAGTTGTGGTTGTGAACTCACAATCTTCTTTTTTTTTTTTTTTTCCTTAGTCACTATCAACCACTCCATGGAAATTTAAGTCCCGGAAGGTATGGTTTATACCATAGCAACCCTTTATTTTTCGAACATATTTTTATTTTTTGTGTGAAATCTTTAAATTGTTTACTCGGAACTTTGGAAGGACCAATTGGGATTTCAAATGGGCCTATTTCTCTCTTAAAAATAATGGTTCTATTTCTTTTCCCTTTTCTTAGAGGTGTAAAAAGAGTTAGAAATGGATTCATCTCTTGATATCCATGTTAATTTGGATTCAATTATACTTTTTATTATATTTCTGCGATAATCCATTGTAATGAAGAGCAATTATACTCTCAAATAATGGGAAACACTGGGGTCCAGGTTTGCTTCTCACAGGCGCTCTTTAGACCAATCTCACAGTGCTTTTAGCCCGCATTGAGAACATCTACCGTATTGAGTGTTGTCATTCGTCCTAATTCACGGCTATGATGTGTTGTGAGGTGTGCTCTGTGATGAATAAATCCAATTTTTTCAAGAATAGAGTTTCAACTGTTATGTTGTTTATGGTAAATTTTACGTTTTTATCATCAGTAGGAAACCTTATCAACCAACGGGTTGGTAAGGAGAATTCGATCCCAAATCTCTACTACAATCAGTAGGAAACCTTACCAACCAACGGGTTGGCACCTTGCATGACAACTTCTACGTTGATAATGATATTGTAACCTAATAACTACTAAGTCCTAAAAGCAGTTCCATACAACAAGGTTTCAAGGCTGCATTGGGTCTTATAAGAAAATAAGGAAGTGACAGTTAAGTGTTGAGCTTCACTCAACTTTCTCTTTCTCTCTTATTTTCAACTTTCTCCTCTCCTTTTCTTTGAATTTTATTTGGGGATGAACTCCAATTATCATAGCAATCTAATCAACTTCTGTACCATTTATAAAAATGAGGATGGTGATAATATTTAAGTCAAAAAGCCTGATTTTTTATTTTCCATTTTTATCTTTATTATATTTTTTATTTTAAAGTTTATTTTCATATTTCGCTTTTACCCTTTATGATGGAGGGTGATTTGGCTCGACCTTGCAGCGCGGGGTACACGTGGGCGTGACCTTGTTCAAACAATGACTCAGTGTGACAGTGCAACTGACATGACCACAACTCGGGGGGAGGGTCTCACCGAGTTGAGCTCGGCAACTGGGCGGATAAACTACTCCCCAGAAGTTGTCTCGCCTGCATCTCCTCCCCGGGGTTAAGACACTTCGGGGTGTCCCGAGGTTGAGGTATCCTAACCTTTTTCGATACTCGAGCTCCTCCCGATGGACTTCGGGCCACCCCCCGACGGGAGCTCACCGACCCACCTCTGGACACCCCGGGGCGAAAACACTTCGGGCCAGGTAGCTCGACATAGCTTTCCACGGGCAGCTCGTCGCCTATGGGATAGTCTGGCACAGGGTAACTCGCGAAAGAGTAGTTCGGCATACCGCCAAAAGACCTCATGCCCGACCATTGTACCTGACAAATCTGGGGACAACAGCCATGCCCCTCATAAAACAGTGTCGCGCCTGCCACCTTTAGAAGGTGTCTTACACCTGACAGGCACGTACCCTGCAATGACAGCTCCGCGCGTGCCACCTCAGCCTTGCCTGTAACAGCTGTGGAAGACTGACAGTGGCAACTATACCTGTCCTGTTAGAAGCCAGAGGGCCTGATGCAAACGGAATTCTGTTATAAGGAGTTGATTCTCATGGGACAAGGTATCTTCGAACCATCTACGCAATCTACACTCTTAGCCTTCGTTTTCCCTTTGCTTCTCACACAGAATACTGACTTAGTCGTCAGAGTGTTCCTGCCGGGCAAACCCCTCAGGAGTTCTTCTTCTTCTTCTTCCTTCTCATCTCAGGTACCACTCAGGAGCCACATGAGTGCTAGCTAGGAGTGACCGGATCGCCCTACATCATTTGGCGCCGTCTATGGGAAAGACTTCGAAAAGCCTTTCTCCAAACTTTCACGTCTCTTTACTCTCCAGAAACCCAACACTCATGGCTTCCTCTAGCAACATCGGACGAAGCACAGAAA